GCCTGAGTTCAATCCCCAGTTCTGTAAAAACAAAACAAAACAAAACAAAACAAAAAACAAACAAACAAAAAAAACAACCCATGTAGAGAGAATGGGAACTCACTTAGGTGGATGTGGGGTGAGACAAAACTTTGGTTAACCAATGGGATTACAAGCACCATTGCTCAGGTAAAATTGATTAAATCTGGTACCAAATGGGAAAGCAAGTCATGTAGCAAGTGGGCAAGAATATGGGATCGGGTCTCTTCTTGTTGGGGGTTGGACTAGTGATTCATATGGGCTCTTTCAAGGTGATTGATAGCTATTTAGAATATCAATCCCTGATGCCCATCCCTAGGAAAGTATGTAGCTGTGTTTGCTCTTTTGTCTTGGTCTTGAGATCTGGCCCATATGGGAGTGTCTGTCTCTTCCAAGTTGCAAAGCCTCCTTGTCTTCCGTCTTGTCTCCTTGAGGGCCTGGCCCTGTCTGACTGCCTATAATATTTCTATCTAACTTGGCTGCTTGCAACATTCCCCTCTCTGAAGAAGTAACCTGAACTGCCATTAGAGAAGCATGGGCGATGATCACTCTGGCTTCTTTAAGCTGAAAGGGGTCATAGTTGTTGACCAGCAGTCAGATATATTCTTCAGAGATTCTATCTAAAGGCCCTCAATAGATACCAGGCATTTTTAATCTTGGGTAGACATACAGCTTTGAATCTTTCAGGGCATCCCCACCTTCTTTCTAATTAATTCCTCCACCCAGGCGTCCCTGAGTAGCCCTCTCCAGAGTAGGTGGATGCTCCTCCTTCCAATGATCTCGGTGGGACCTCCAAAATTATACAGGGAGAAAAACTGATCTCGGGTGGGTGACCTCCAAATGATACTGGGAACCTCCAGATGACATAGGGGAAAAATGATCTCCTGACCTGACCTGGACGAGTTCATGTTCTCTAAAACCGATGAATGAACTTTAGGAACAAACGGAGATTATGAGCAGAATATATTTACAGAGGGAAAGAAAGCTCCTGTCCAAGAGAGGGACAGGAGGGGGGCCCAAGTGGGTTGTTCCCCTTTTTTTTTTGAGAGAAGGTCTCACTGTGTAGTACAGGATGACCTTGAATTACTATATAGCACAGGTTGGACTTGAATTCATTACCATACTCTTTTCTCAACCTCTTGAGTACTGGTATTACAGGTGTACATGACCACACCCAGCTTGTTTTCCAGGTGTATCTGTGTTTTGGGTTGGAGTCTATTGCAATATTCTACCACTTCAATTTATTTGGTATGAGAGTTCTTGCCTATTTTGCCTAGCCCTTGCTTTTTTGGCACTTGCCCATATTATTTGTTATGATCCTTAGGCAATCTTAGTCTTGGCATACCAGGAAGCCATACCAGTTGACTAGCACAACTATGTCACCTTGGCTAAAGTGGAACCATCAATAGCAATATCTGCTGAGGCAGATAGCTCAGCAGCATAAGCACCTGCCTGGAAAGTGTAAGGTCCTAAGTTCAATCCCTGGTACCAAAATAATAATAATAATAATAATAATAATAATAACAACAACAACAACAACAATGGCATCAAACACAGCCTAGAAAATGACTAACTGATAAATACTATATGGCACATTTAACCATATTTGTGGTTATACAACAAAATCTAAAACCAACCAGAAAGTTGCATATAGCAAATATGCCCTCAATATGATGATTTTATCCTCAGGGGAGAAAATTTTAAAGGAGTAGGTGGGGAAAGAGAAAAACAGAAGAAGAGGAAGAGATTACAAGCAAAACTGTAGGACAAAGAAAGATTACACAAATTTTGGGAACTGGTGAAGAAGACTGGAGGGAAAGAGGAAAGAAATAAAAAGAACAGAACATCAACAACAAGAAAACTAGAAACAATGTTCACACTCTTATAAAGACAGGGACAAATAATCAGGACAACAAAACAAACCAAAACAACAAAACAAGGGCTAGGGAGATGGCTCAGTGGAATAAGCGCTTCCCTGGCAAGCTCAAAGGCCTGAGTTCAATCCTCGGTTCCACAAAAAAAAAAAAAAAAAAAAAAAAAGAAAAGAAAGAAAGAAAGAAAAGAAAAAGAAAAAAGAAGAGAGGAAGAAAAAAAATATCCACTTTAGGGCATATCTCTGCTATCACTTGTAGACACAGTGGTCAGACAGAGTCTAGTTCCATGTTGATTATTCCCAGCAAGGCAGCTGTACATTTATGATGGGGCAATGGATAACAGAAGCAAGCCTGCACTTTTATTTTTAATTTTAATTTTTTTGTCGGAACCGGGGATTGAACTCAGGCCCTTGAGCTTGCCAGGCAAGCGCTTATTCTCCTGAGCTATCTCCCCTGTCCCAGCTGTCTCCCTGGCCCCAAGCCTGCACTTTTAGTTCTGCTCCAGTTCAGACTTGTTTCTGGTTGTGAGGCTGGAATCCAATTTGGTCAGCCTGCAACATTCAGTGTGCCTCCTGTTGGACTGAACTTGGTTTTGCCTCACCCTGAAGCTGGAAACTGCTAGTTGGATCCATCCTGCAGCTGTTTTGAGTTCTGAGCTTATTTGGCCCCTATCCAACATTGCTGCTGGCTAGTGGCTAACTCCTGGGAACACCTGAACTCAAAAAACTCGCCAGCCATTGCAGTCGGCTGCATCCATATCTCCGTTCCACTGGTGTGTTTCTCCGTGGAGCTCTCTGCATGGCCAGGAGTCACTATACTTCTGCAGCTTCTAGCCACTCCTCCCAGGCAGTGAGAAAGCACAGCTTACCACCTCCTTCTTCTGTATTGAGGTCTCTCTCTTTGATGTCCCAATGGGCTTCAATTCTTGCTTTAGAACCCTGCTAGATCCTGAGGATCCATTTTTCTCCTCTTCCTCACATTACTATATTCCAGCACCTGGGTATCAAATCTCTGACACCAAATCTTGGATTCCTTCTCTTGTGTTTGTCACTCTGTCCTCTTTCCAGAAGTTTGTCATGGCCTTTTACCACTTGCCCAGAGTCCATGATCCACTCTAATTTTTTTCACATTCTACACTTACGTACATTTTAAGACTAATCTCAAAATCATATATTCAGAGCTGGCCAAATAGCTAAGTGGATGAAAGCGCCTGCAAGCAGGCGCTTGAGACTGGGCGTGGTGGCACATGCCTGTAATCCCAGTGCTTGGGAGTCTGTAAACAGGCGGATCACTGTGAGTCCAATCTAGTAGTGAGACCCTGAACACCCTGTAGACCCTTCCCTAAAATACAAAAAAAAAAATCAAAATCACATATTCATACATATATTTCCTTTTGTTGATTTCACCTAAGCTTAAATGTAAGGTGTATTTAACAAAGACTGTAAATAAGTATTTACCATATCTGTTACATGTAACACACAAGAACAGCTTTTGACAGAAATTCATCAACCCCTCCCACAGCTTTTTTTTTTTTTAATAAATACAGGTACAAAAACAATCCCAAACATATTTTTTTCTGAACATATTTTTGATACTACTAGTTGTCCGCACCCACATTGCTTCAAAAATTAACACAATTTGTGACAATATTCATTGTACCTGCTACTTTGAATAATTTCAAACTGCAGTTCTTTCGCTAAGCAGGAAAGACAAGCATGCTGTTTCTGCTCTTTCTTCTTGAGATGTTTACTTTTCAGAAACACATACTTCTGCTGACATCTGACAGTTCTTCCTTATAAACCTAAATCAATGTGGAGTACCCAGGTTCATGTTTATTTTTATTTATTTATTGGTTGATTGATTGCAGAACTGGGGATTGAACTCAGGCCCTTGCACTTGCCAGGCAGGTGCTTAGACTGCTGAGCTATCTCCCTGGCCCTTGAAGTACAACTTTAATGCTATATGAATTTTGCCATTTTGCTAACACTGGTATGCTGCATGCATCTACCACTCCACTGGAATTATTTATTCCATTCATAATAATTTTTGTTATAAGTCTAACTGATGGAGGAGCTTCTGGGTATTTAGTCCACATTCTACTTTCAGGCTATCTATTCTTCATAATTTCTCCTTGGTGGCCCAATAATCATACCTGTCCACCTTGTAAGTGTCACATCATCATCATCTTCAAGGCCCTAGCTAACTATACCATCACCTACTCCTTTTTTTTTTTTTTTTTTTTTTTTTTTTTTGTGGAACCGGGGATTGAGCTCAGATCCTTGCGTTTGCCAGTCAAGCACTTATCCTACTGAGCCATCTCCCCGGCCCCCCACCTACTCCTTTTTGTCTTTCAAGTTCTTCTAATAAGCAAACTTAAACTCCTGTGTAGACTTCCATCTTTTTTTTTTTTTTTTACTTCCCTCTTTGCCTACAGTCTGACACAGCCACCTCAACTTACAGTAACTAATCAATAGTCCATGGTCTGCATCTTATACTGTAACTACTACGAAGACAACAACATCCAATGTCTTAGTTATTATAACTGTCCTACTAACCTCTTTTGAAACTGTCTTGTTGCTATTTCTTTCTCATTAAAATTAATTAAAAAAAATAGTACATTGTGTCCTCCATTAAGGTCACCTTTCCTAAAAGAATAAAGGGGCTCACTCCCCTCTCTCTTTCACCTCCAGTGCTCAGCTCTTCCTTGCTCAGAGTTTCCCAAGAGCATGTACGAATGAATCCAAACAGTAAAGTTGGGTCCTCTGTCAAAAAGCCTGGTGCACAGAGGATCCTAGCAAGTCTCTCAGTTTCCAAAACACTGTTCTAGATTGGGATGCAGGTGATACTTTAATTCTGGCCCTCTTTGCATTTTCCCCAGCCACTATTCTCTTTCTCTTTCATTTGTTATTACTGTTTCTCTGGCCTGTGTCTGTCTCCACAGGAAGCACGCAGGCTCAGGTCTGAGGTGATTGGTAACGGAAACATTGATGCCTGTGCAAATTTAATAAAGGGTCACGGACTTTTTTTGTGTGTCATTATCTCTTGCGTTCTGCCCTGAGTTTCTGTCTTGGACCTGATTTCTCCTCCTTATCTCTCTCTTGTGTCCAGTCTTGGATTCCTGCCAGCATCTAGGACCAGTTCTGCATACCCCTGGATCTCTGGATGGCCCCTACAAGGTACTTGAAGGAAAATTACCAAGCTAGGCCAACTCTTCTGATTTCCTGGCTCGCTGGCCACATAGCCCTGCTGACCACATCCTCCCTCACCTTATTTATACACTTCCTCACCAGATACGTCAGACCTCAAAACCTGTATAGACCCCCATTCTGGCCCTCTGCTTTACCCCCTCTTCTTCTCCCAGGGCTCCTGTCTCACCTCCCCCATACACACTGCTCTTAGAACCATGTACTGCAGCCTGGAGCCTGTAGTCTTTCTTTCTCCTGGTTCTCCAGCTTCTCTTTTGCCCACAGGTGACAGTGCCAACCACAATGCTATCCAGTCGCTGGTGGCCAAGGACCTGGGGGAGTCCGAGGCTAAGGCCCCAAAGCCTTTCTCGGGGATCCCAGCTCTGTGCCCTCTACGCCTTTTCTTATACCGCGGCAGATGGCCGGCAGGTGTCTCTGGCTGAAGGTGACAGGTTCCTACTGCTTCGAAAGACCAATTCGGACTGGTGGTTGGTAAGGCGCCTGGGAGCACCCTCTACCTCTCGACCCATCTTTGTTCCAGCTGCCTACATGACAGAGGAATCCATCCCTTTTCAGAGCCCAACTATTATTACACCCAGCCAACCACTCTGGACTCCTGGTAAGTAAGCCCTAACTTCTCCATCACCTTCCTATCTCCATGAGCTGGGGAATTATTGGGATCCTTTTGTGCTTACCATCTGCTGACCCCTTATCTCCTTGAGTCAACCTCCTGTCATCTCCCATTGCTGCAGAGGTGTCATCCCCATTCCATTGCCTTCTCTCTTAGGTCCAAGCTTTCTAAGTCTTGTGTCATTTTCCACAGGCTTCCTCTAATCTCCTTGAAGACCAAGCCAAAATCACATCTCGGATCACCTATCACCCTCCATTTCTCTGTTTCTAGAACCAAAGCTGTTTCACAGCTCGCTGGAGGCACTGCACCTGTCTCAGACACACCAGGCTACATCTGAGCAGCCTCCCCTTCATCCTAAAATGTGTAGAAGTACCAGTGTTGCCAGTTTGCGGCCCAGCCCCCTGCAGCCCCTCCAGGATGGACCAAGTAGAAAATCCCTCTCTGAGGAAGACACATTGACAGAAACCAATATGGTGAGCTTTTCTTCTGAACATAGTTTTTTTTTTGGGGGGGGGGCACTCAGGATGCCTTCAGGGAAGATCTGGCTTGGCTTGAGGATGAGGGGATCCAACCCACAGCATCCTGAGCCTGACTGCTTTGTTTCAGCAGGCACTTAAACACCTGAGCTAATGGGCAGGCCCCTTCTTCTGAGCATAATAAAAAACAAAAAACTATAGCTGGGGCCAGGGAGATGGCTCAGTGGAATAAGCGCTTCCCTAGCAAGGGCAAGGGTCTGAGTTCAGTCCCTGGTTCTGCAAAAAAAAAACCTATAGCTGACCCCTGTTCTGACAATGCCAAACTGGACCACATTGCTGCCCCAAGGAATTCCCCTGAGGGTGACAAACTTAAATAGGATAACCCTTACTGATCCTGGAGCTGATAAGTGTTACAAAGGGGAATAAATCTGGTAGAGGGTGCCTGAAGTGGTCATTGAAGACACTGAACACCCAGGAAGAAGAGAGGGGCATAAGGCAAACCAAATGAGAAGGGACAGAGAGAAGCTAGAAAAGGAACGTGCTTCAACAGAAAGACTGAAAGAAAGCCAGTGGGCTAGGCTTTTTCTCCCTCCTCCTGACTCTTAGCACAGTACAGGAGGTCTCCTTTGCCCTGTGTAGCTAGCATGGACACAAAATCCCCTCTGGAGGTTTAACTTAAGGCCCTTATCCAGTCCTTCCCCTCTCTCTCCTGCTGGTGGATGGAACACGGCCCTCCCCCTCACACCCCCTGGTGGGGTCTCAGCTGTCTTTCTTGCAGGATGTGAGGGTGGGGCACTCCCCCTTGTGCGAGCACCCCCCCCCCCAGCCTGTTCCCCTTTCCTGCGGCTCCGGGCCGGCCGGTGTTGGTGAGGGCGTGGGGGAGGAGGGAAGTTGGCAACAGGAAGTGAAGAGAAAAGCAAAGACTGTGAGAGAAAAAAATTTTTTTCGTAAAAGCAGCCCAGGGACTGGGGTTTGTCCCCTTGTACCTGAGTCATCCTGTCTAGGAGCTGGTGGTGAGAAAATGGAGGGGGAGAGAGGAAGAGGTGGTATAGGGGAGAGATTGGGGGCGGTATGGCCAGAGTAACCACCTCCTTCTTCCCCCTTTCTGACAGGCAAGACCCCAGCCCCTCATGTCAGAGCCCCCAGTGTACAGTAACTTGGTGGACCTGCGCCGCTGTCCCCGGTCCCCACCCTCAGACCCTGCATGCCCCCTATTGCAGAGGCTGGACGCCTGGGAACAGCACCTAGACCCCAACTCTGGACGCCGCTTCTACATAAACTCACTGACCGGCTGCAAATCCTGGAAGCCTCCACGCCGCAGTCGCATCCAAGACACGGTGAGACCTTCCCTCCTGCCCGTTCCGTGGTCCCCTTAATGTCCTCCTTTCTCCGTTGAACCTCAAGGTAGTTTTCTCTATGGGGCCCTCAGGTCAAAAGAAACAGCCGCTTGTCATAAGGGTGTTGAGAGCAGTTGAAGTGGCATGTGAATGTAGCTCTATCTCCCTCTCCCCGTAACCCAGAACCCTGGCTCCATGGAGGGGACACAGACCCTGAACAGGGACAATGGTGTCCTGCAACCTCAGGCCAAAGGCTTGGGAGCTGACACACGGCCCCTGGAACTGCTTGATTCACAGGTAAGGCCCCCCTCTAACTCCCAAAAATATACAGAAAAAGCTAGCTTTTTACTTTCTCTTTTATGAAAGAACTTCAGCACCCACAACACCCTCTGGCCCTCTCTTTCTATAGCCAGGGACCCCCCCAAATTGAAAGTATCTCTACTTGTTTTTTCAATCCCTTCTCCAGAGTTCACCCTGCCAAGGCCAACGCACCTCCCAGCTTGTCCCCTCAGACCAGCCTCCAGCCTCACAGCGCCCCCGAGATCTGCCGCAGGTCCTGGAAGACCCCCACGTGAGTCTCCCCACCTTTTAAATACCAAAAGCCTCTCCACCCCACCCCCCACCCCTGCTCCTCAAAAACATCTTCCTCTTTCTGGGCATCCTCTTTTGTCCAGCTCCCCCACCCCCAGCTTTAAGGGACCTCACTTCTGGGAGACGCCTTAGGGAAAGTCTTGGCGGCAGTGGGCAGCACAGGGTGGTTTAGGGATATGACTCGTTCCCCTTCCCAGGAAGTGGAAAAGTCGGGTCTGCTCAACGTGACCAAAATTGCCCAAGGGGGGCGCAAGCTTAGGTGAGGAGAGCTGGCCACTGCCCGGGCGGGACAGCTGGACTCCGTGGGGGGAGAGCCCGGGTGTGCGGGAGCGCGCCCCCTACAATGATGTTTTCACCACCGTGGCCTTTCCGACCCGCGCGCTCAGGAAGAACTGGGCCCAGTTGTGGGTGGTGTTGGCGGGTAACAGCTTGGTGTTCTACCGGGAGCCGCCGCCACCGATGGCCCCCTCTTCTGGCTGGGTAAGTGTGAGCCAGGGGTGCGCGAGGGGCGCTGCGGGAAGTAGAGGAACCACCGAGCCCTCCACTTCCTCGAAACCCACACGCGAACGGGAACCCGGGGCGGGAAGCGGGGACAACTTCGCAGCCTCAGTTTCTCCCCTAATGGCCAGGCGCCAGCGGGTAGCCGGCCCGAAAGTAGCGTGGATCTGCGCGGGGCGGCCCTGTCGCACGGCCGCCACCTGTCCAGTCGGCGCCACGTCCTGCACGTGAGTGCCTTCCCGCGCGTCCCCAGGCCTGCCTGCCCCGAGGGCGCGCCCGGGTCTCCCGCATCGCGTGTTTTCACGCTGAGGCTCCAGATCTCTGGGGCACCTCCCCGCGGACTCAAGCTTCTTTGCACCCCTGCAGATCCGCACAGTCCCTGGCCACGAGTTCCTGCTGCAGTCGGACCAGGAGGGAGAGCTGCGAGCCTGGCGCCGCGCGCTGCGGGCGGTCATCGAGCGGCTGGTGGGGAGATGAGTGGGAGACCCGGGAGAAGGGTGGGCGGGCCCCAGGCAGTGTTGTAGGGAGGACCCGTGGGAGTCGGGAGTCTCTGGGTGTAGGAGAGCTAGGACGTAGGACCTCGACAGCAGGACGAGGTCTCCTTGCGTCCAACTGAGTAAAAACTGATTTTGTTCTCTCTCATAACTTTCTACTCGGCCGATCCTGCCTGCCTGGGTGCAGGAGCGGGAGAACCCCCTGGAGCTGCGTCTGTCTGGATCGGGGCCGGCGGAACTGGCGCAGTTGAGCGCTGGGGAGGATGAGGAAGAGGAGTCCGGGCCGGTGTCAAAGCCGCTGCTGCGGTTCAGCGGTCATCGGAGCTCCAGTACGGGGCGGGCTCTGGGACGGCTTGGCCTGGGCCTCGAAGGGCGGTCCGGCGCTCTTCTTGGGCTTGGAACTGCTCTACCCGCCTCCTACAGGTCGGTGTCCCGAAGGCACTGAGCAGAATCGCGTGCGGAACAAACTAAAGCGATTTATTGCCAAGAGACCTCCTTTGCAGAGCCTTCAGGAGCGGGGCCTGCTGCGAGGTGGGTGGGCTGAGAAACAGCTCTAGCCTTATGCCTTTGTGCTGTGCCTATTTCACTGGTATTCCTTGAGCTAGGATCTCACATGTAGTTCAGACTGGCCTGGAGCTCACTATATATCTTAAGCTGACCTCCAACTCACCGAAATCCTCCTGCCTCAGCCTCCCAAGTGTTTTTAGAAGCATTGTTTTAGTGCTTTTCCAATCACTTTCCTGTTCCTGATCTGGGCATCAGCCCATTTCACAGATGAGAAAACTCAAGCTTTACATAGATATATCAGTCTTCTGAGACCTTTGCTTTTTCCATGCCCATTGATTATTTTATTTATTTTTAAAGTTTAGTACAGTATTTCACTACATAGATCAGACTTGTACTAATCCTGCTGTTTTCAGCCTCCCAAGCGCTGAGATTACAGGCATAGGCCACCACACCCAGTTTCAATTGAAATCCCTGCACACCCTAGGGGGCTCGAACCCCTGTCCCTGCATGTGCCTAAGCAGGTGTTTATCTGGCTGGCCCTCCATTGATTGTTGAGGGGCAGGGGGATGTGTTGGCAGAGCTTTTCCCAGTAAGCTGACACTGGCCTCCCACCTCACCCTGCCTTCTCAGATCAGGTATTCGGCTGCCAATTGGAATCACTGTGCCAGCGGGAAGGGGACACCATACCCAGCTTTGTGAGGCTCTGCGTTGCTGCTGTGGATAAAAGAGGTCATTTTCTCAGAGACTCAACAGGCTGCCTCCCTTTCATGGCCCTCCTACCACTGTTTTTCTCTCCTGCGCCCTTAGTGTCCCTCACCACACACACTTTCGAGCAGGGTCCTTATCTGGTCCCTGCCTGGTGTCCTAGGTCTAGATGTTGATGGAATTTACCGGGTGAGCGGAAACTTGGCAGTAGTTCAGAAACTTCGCTTTCTGGTGGACAGAGGTAAGAGAGATTGCGGGTGAATGGTGGTACTAATTACTCCACGCTTCTGATCTAGGGGTGGTTCTGGGTGAGGGGCTGGAGTACCGTTCTGCCTGGAACTTCACACCTTAGATCCTTATGGCTTCTTATACTTGTTGCAGAGCGGGCAGTTACCTCTGATGGGAGATATATGTTCCCAGAACAACCAGGACAAGGTACTCACACGAAAGCAGCCCTAAAACTGCTATCCCCCCTTGATCTCATGGGCTCCCCCGTGTCTTGCTCCTGGAGAACTTGTCCCTATCTCCATTTTGGCTGTCTTTGCCCCTTATGCCCTCTCATGGCTTGCCGGTTTTGACTGCGTTTCTGCCAAGCTTCTGACCTCTCCTGGGTTTCTCTGGCCCATCTCGAGTCCTGAACCTACTGAGCGTCCTTTTCCCTCTAGAAGGTCAACTAGATTTGGACAGTGCTGAATGGGATGACATTCATGTAGTCACTGGAGCCCTGAAGCTTTTTCTCCGTGAGCTGCCCCAGCCTCTGGTGCCCCCACAGCTGCTGCCTCATTTCCGTGCTGCCCTTGGTAAGCCGCACAATATTTTTACATGTGGGATGTGACTAGTGAAGAATAGATTCCCTTCCATACTGGTCAGAGAGCTGGCAAAAACTCATTCTAGCTTCAGTTTTGGGGGGGTTTGTATTTTGTATGTGTGGTTTTCTTTTTTTTGGGGGGGGGAGGGGTTGTTTTTAAGATGGAATCTTGCTACACAGCTCAGGTTGGCTTTGAGCTCACTTTGTAGCCCAGGCTGATCCCAACTGTTCCTCCAGACTCAGCCTCCTGAGAGGAATTTTTTTTTTTTTTTTAAGATAGAGTCCTACTATGTATCCCTGGCTGACCTGAAACTCTCAATCCTCCTATCCTCAACTTTCCATAGTGCTAGTATTACAGGCATGTGCTCTCTGTTTTGGTGAATAGAGGACAGAATTGAAAAGATTCTGAGCCATAAGTGAGCTAAAACTGTTTGCCTTGTATACACAAGGTCCTGGCTTTAATGCCTAGTACCAATAAATAAATAAATAAATAAATAAATAAAGTCTTCCATAGATATGGGAAAAGAGAAATGTGTGATGAATTTACTCATTCTACTAGTTATTCTCTCTCTAGCACTCTCCAGATCAGAGGAGCGCCTGTCTCAAATACAAGAATTAATTGAGTCCATGCCGAAGCCCAATCAGGACACTCTGCGGCACCTCCTGGAGCATCTATGCCGGTAAAGATGACTATACCTCTCTTCTCATGTTGGGGAGGGTACATGGGACATGTGGCAGGGACTCTGCTCAGGTGGGCAGACATAAACACCTAAGCGTAGTGGGCAGGAGACTTTTGTCAAAGCCTTTGCATAGCTTGTTATCAAGTGGGAGATGGGAACCAGCCATGCCCAAAATAAGAAGGAAAATCGCACCTTTCCCTTTCCTCTGCTTTTGCCTCCAATTGGGACAGTGGTAATACTGTTTTAGGCTGAGCTGGGTCTGGGCTCTTCCCTTTCTGAAAAGAGATATTCATTTGTATAAAAGCCTCCCGAGCCAAGGCCTGCCAGGACTTCAGGAGCCATCCCTGAAGTAGGGGCTCCAGCAGTTACTTTCCAGGTTGTATCCCGCAGGAATCCCTACTGGTCTATCTCTATTTCCCTTGAGGCTTTGTCCTTGGTTCCTTCAGCCACAGAGGGAGCACAGAAGGAGCAGTCAGAATTTTGTTAGAGGGGATGGGGAGATGGCTCAATGGAATAAGCGCTTCCTTAGCAAGCACAAGGGCCTGAGTTCAATCCCTGGTTCCGCCAAAAAAAAAAAAAAAAAAAAAAAGAATTTCGTTAGAGTTAAATTGAAGTGGCAGGCTGGGTGTGATGGTACACACCTGTAGTCCTAGTACTCGGGAGGCTGAGGGAGGAGGATGGCAGTGAGTTTGAGGCCAGCCTGAACTGCATAGTGAGACCCTATCTCCAACAGACCAAAACAAAAACAAGTGGCAAGCTGCCACCTTATTTCCTCTTCCCTTGGCCTTTGCCTCCAGGGTGATAGCACACTCAGATAAGAACCGCATGACCCCCCACAACCTGGGGATTGTGTTTGGACCAACCCTGTTTCGGCCAGAGCAGGAAACATCTGATCCGGCTGCTCATGCACTCTACCCGGGGCAGCTGGTCCAGCTGATGCTCACTGACTTCACCAGCCTCTTCCCCTGACTCAGGAAAAGAAGAGGAAACATTTTCTAAGGATCTGTTGGGTGACTTTGGGTGGGGAGCAGGAGGTTTTTTTTTTTTTTTTTTCCCTTTGGACTTTTTGAGACAGGGTCTCACTATGCAGTTCAGGCTAGCCTTGAGCTCACTTTGTAGCCCAGGCTGGTCTCAAACTCACAACGACCCTCCTGCCTCAGCCTCCTGAGTGCCAGGATTACAGGTACACACCACTGTGTCCGGCTAGGATGTTGTTTTAAGAACATTCCTATAAATCCTGTCTCCCAAATGACGTTCTCCATCTTCCTGAGTCTGATGTGAGGGATTAGGATCTGGTAAGGGAATACTCTGAAAAGGGAAGTGAGAGAATGAACCTCTTACTTCTGTTCTTGTTCCTCTCCTGAGATAACACATAAAGCACTTATTTCCGATGCACTTCCTTTATTATGAGGAAACAGTGTCATTATCAAATTCCTTCCCAAAACATACACAGACTAAATATTGCCCCAGCCCTTATATCCCATCCCTGGAGCATCTTATGCAGAGGGCTATGGCTTCTCTCCTGGACTTCTCTGGAGAGATGGAAGCCTTTTAGCAAATGCAGATCTGGTGGACGAGATTCCTTATCCTTCAAGCACTGGAGTTGAGGAATTGCGTCTCCCCAGGTAGGGATCCCAGTAAAACACTCATGTTGCCTACAGCCATGTTGGGAGGCCCAGAGGGTGGTGGGGTGTGTTCAGAGGTATCCCCCTGATCATGGGAAGGGTGAGGACTCAATCCCTGGGCCTCATCCAAAATTGCCACAAAGTCCAGCTGAGTGTTGTCAAGATCAAGAGAGTCCAGAGGGTTATACCCCTGCCCTTCTGGAGGAGGGTACAAGGCAGGACCCCCACCCAGCCGGCCCCCCTCGGGATGGCCACAGCTGGGGTTGGTACCTCCTGCTTTGAGGGGCCCATAACAGGTAGGCAATGGAGGCAGAAGCCGGGGTGGTGCCACTGCCCTATGAGAAGACCTGTTTGCCCCCAATGCAAAATTTTCATGGCATGGTAAAGGGATAGGGTAGGACCCTGACTTGTTATTGGGTAAGTTGGATGTAAATCCAGGTCCATATGTGGGCACTGAGGCTTTGGTAGGGTTTGGGCTAACTTGGGAGCTCCCCAAAAACTTGGGATTCTGGTAGGGAAGTTCCTGGACTGGGACCTCTCCCCTGCCTGCACCCTCCCAGAGCAGCTCCTGCTGAGACTGAACATAGTTACATACTAGTTGGGCTTTGAACTGTCCTGTAGAATGGGCAGGGGAATCCAAATCCAGGCTAGCCCGGGGTTCTGAAGGGAGATAGTCAGGGGGTGGCTGAGGGTAGGAGCCTGACTGAGGATACTGATGGGGAGGAGGCTGGGGATAGTGGGAGAATGGTGGCTGTGGGCATGGGGGCTCCTCACCAGGGTGTGCACTGAGGCACGAGGCCAGTCTTGGGGCATCAGACCCCACTGGGCAACCTTGCTCTGGCTTGACCTGCACTTGCCCATAATGTTCAAGTCGAGGACACTGGCTATATGCTCCACCTGTGACTTTGGGGCCTGGGTACAGCCCAGAGTGGGAAGGGAACTCGCCCCATGTTTCTGGAGTAGGGCCAGGATAGGAGACCTGTTGGGGACAGGGGCTGGGGCTGTAGTTGGTGGGTGGACCAGGCCCAAGAGGCAGAGAACCAGGACCCCTAGTTCCATAGGGCTCAACTGCTGACCCTTCAGTTCCCCCATATCCCAGAGTATCAGCAGATGGGAAGCCCATATAAGGGTTCGTGCCGCTGCCCATAACAGAAGTCCCAACCTCTGGTTCCTCCTGTAGACCTCTAGTATCCATGGCAACATTCTCAGTGATGCTGGGGGGCTGGGGTGAATAGACAGAGGCTGAGAGATGGGGGTCAAAATTTCGTCCTCCTGCTACAGAAGGGGGTGTGTGGACACAGCCCAGGCTCTTGAACCTCTGGACCCTGGCAGGAGGAGGGCGGTCAGCAGCCCGGGCTGGGTCACTGGCCCTCCGAGTGACACCTGCATTAGGGTTGTATCCAGGATACTCAGCTCGGCTTCTCCAAGGAGGTGCAGGAAGACTCCCCATGCGATCCAGGCTGGATGCTGTGGTGGGGGGAGTACCACCTGCCCTGGCTGAAGCATACCTTGCCCGGAGCAGGTAGTGCTGGGCAGGCGTGAGGCCAGGCAGGGAGGACGCCCCATTCTCAGGTGGAGATCCAGGAGGGAAAGGAGAGGCCAGGGAAGAGCGGCGGCTGACAGTATAGGCAGAGCTCATACTGCTCGAGCTGCTGCTTCGGCGGTCAAGAGAGACTGAGGGACCCAGGCGGCGGGGTGCAGGAGTGCCTGAGTGACAGGGAAGAAATGCAGAGTAGTCGGGTCCCCTGAATCTTTCCTTGCCTCCCTCACAGAATAGTCTTGTCCTGGAGCCCTACCTGCTTTATCCCTAACCACTCACTTCTGTTGTTTCTACTTTTCTCTTTCTGTTCTGCTCTGGGTCGTTAGGGATTAAATAAAGGCTGCTGTGGACAGCCATATGGGTTGTACACTGCGCCATTCTAGGGGAGGGCATTCACATCACGTATATTTGCAAATTACAACTTTCTGACAGATGGGAGGAAAAATGCTGTGAGGAAGGGGGACCTTTTTCTGATTGTACAAAGGTGCCATATGGCAGCCCTGAAGGGGTGACTTCCTCCTCCCAATCTCAGGGCAGGTCCAGGCCTCAGCCCAGCAGCACTTCCTCTCCCCGGGTCTCACCGGTTTGGGTCAAACTGGGTAGCTTGAGACCTCGTTGCCCTGCTGGCCGGAGTTGATGCAACTGGTCCAGTCGGAGGTTCTCAAGGCGGCGTAGCGTGGAGAGTCCAGTGCCAGCAAGGCAAGGGCCTTCTTCTAGGCTGGACAGGTCCTCGGTGCTGCCCCCTGCGTTGCCTGTCATTTCCACGCCGCTGTCTGTATTGGCTGCACTGCCTGCTGGGGAGCGGTCACTGCTGCAGGAAGACTGTGCCCCAGGGCTGGGCTGTGGCTTCTGTGAGGAAGATGAGGACTGAGGGTGGCACCCTTGCCCCTCCCCCAAGTCCTGCAGCTTGTTGAGTGGCTGAAGCACGTGTCCCAGTGGGCCCTGGGACTGAAAAGAGCCACAATAAGTGTAGAAAAATCCGAGTAGTGAAAGAGACTGGAACAAACCAGAAGAGAGATGTTTTAGAAGAGCCCAAATGACCAGGCTACTAATTCTTGCTGTCAGTCCTATAGTCTTGGGTCATTTCTTTATGCCTGCGTTTCCTCACCTGAAAATAGGGAGTAAGCTCCTTCCTTATGAAGTTGTCATCAGGAGTATGTGACTGTTTGTACATAAAAGGCTTGGAACAAGCTGAGCATAGTGGTGCATGCCTGTAATCCCGGCACTTGATCGACTGAGGCAGGGGAGTCATTTTGAGTTCAAGGCCAGCCTAAACTACATAGCAAGCCCCTACCTCAAACAAACAAACAAACAAAAACCAAAACCCTAGGAACCATACAGTAAGTGCTAGTGAGAAGTAAGTTTGTTGAGTCAAATAATTCACAACTCTAAAGCCTAAGATTTTGGGTTGGCCAAGGAACAACACTGGGACAAGAGACAGGCATACTGGCCACAGAAGAGCAACTTGCATGGCACAAGACAGGAAGGGGCTAGAAAGCTGTCAGCCATGCAGGCTGGAGAAGCCCAGAGGTGACATGTGCTGGCTCACCATGGCGCCCTCTGGCACAGTCAGTCTGCTCTCTTCCCTGATGGGGCCTCCTTCCCGCTCTCGCTTGGGCTCCACTGTAGAAAGGGATGGTGCCCGGGGCAGAGGCCCATCCCCTCGATGTCGCTTGGTCACATGGGCGTCAGGACCATGCACTGTCTTGACATGTTTTCGCAATGAGCTGGGGTCCGTGTAGCGTTTGGTGCAGCCAGGGAGCTTACACACATATGGCTTCTGCGGAGTGGGGAGAGGAGACAGAGCCAAGGGATCAAAGGGAAAGAATGCAGGAGGAACAGGAGAGGTAACAGTCTGGGAAGAGGGACACAGCATCCAAGGGATTAAGGGGAGTGGGAGTCAAGCATGAGAGGCTTAAGGGAGGATTATGAAAACTGATGACCCAGGCCTAGGGGAGATAAAGGTGGCTGTGGGGCCTCAAATTCTGTGGTTGAAGGGACCAGGCGTCTCCACTAGACCAGGCCTGTTTTAAATTTATCTGGGGCTGGTGAGATAGCTCAGTGGACTACATGCCTGCTTTGGCAAGCACAGGGACCAGTGTTTGATCTCTGGTCCTGCATGCCTGGCTGGCCCCGCCCCTGGGATGCATGGAGCCAGAGAAGGAGTCTGGGCATGGTGACACACGCCTATAATCCCAGCACTGTGGAGGCTGAAAACAGGAGGATCACAAGTCCAAGCTGTGTACCGAGACTGCGTATTGAGATCAAATACATAAAATGCAAATAAATAAATAAATTGGGCCCTGTCTGGTTAATGGTCAGTGACAATGTTTGCTTTCAGAAAGGCTGACTCTGGTTGAATTATGTAAGTGGAGGAACTCACCTCTGGAGTGGGTGGCATGGGATTTCCTATGGGGAACTCTCCCTAATAGGTGGCTTCTCAAGTGGGAAGGATCTCTTAGTTGGGGCATTCACCTCATTGGAATGGGTCCGATTCTGGTGCTTGGCCCGGTCGCTGGCATTGCTGAAGGCTTTACTGCAGCCCTCGTGCTCACACATGTATGGCTTCTCACCCGTGTGTGATCGCAGGTGTGTCTTCAGATTCTCAAGGCGTGAGTATGACTTCCGACACCCTTCAAACTAGGTGACAGATGGGGCAGATGACAGCTCTCAGACAGATGCACATGGAGAGGAAAGCAGCCCTAACCCTCAACAGGGACACAATAAAATACAACTCAACATTGGAGGGCACAGGGGCTCAGGAGAATTCCCAAAATTAGGGGACAAGGGAAGGTTAAGGTAGACGAAGAGAAGGAGCTGGAGGCGCTCTACCATCAGGACTTCGGTGCTGGGAGTACCTTGTGGTCAGGCTGGAGCTCCCTACCTGGGCATCAGACTGGCTGAGAATGGGGTCACCTGGGAAAAGGCTT